ATATATATATATATATATAGCCTACTCCTTACTTCGTGCTTGTCTGACTCTTGGTGTTGTGCAGACCCTGACATTGACAATGTCACCGACAGGCGGAGACGCTGTCCCTGCTCGATCATCGCCCATTGCGGGATCTCCGCAGGGGACGCCCGATCCTCGTGAAAGCGTCGATCGATCTCCATGTGCAGCACGGGGGTTGTTGGGCGTTTCACTGCACAGCGGTGGTCCAGAGGTCCGGTTGGGGAAAAGGCGCCGCCGTATTGTTTCACATGCAACTGGAAGCGTCGTTGGCCCGGGCGTGACACCCGTTTTGCCTTTCGCTGGTGTGTTGGGGGCTTCTCCGCCGGGTGTGGCTGGGGTTCGTGACGCGGCCTCGTATGGAGGTGTGTATGCTGGTCCGTTGCTGCCATCCCCACTGCTGCCTAGACGCCTGGACTATGTGTCCACGATTCTGTTAGCACCTGTATGGTCACATGCAGTGGCCCCGCCATGTCCCGCTGGAGGCGGTTCTCTTCCATGGGATTGCAGCGACGCTTGGCGTTGTCCAACCGTTTCAGGTCCACGAGTCATCGGAGCGGTGGCGGGTTGGTCTGCGGTGCCACCTCAGGCTCCCTTTATCGCTCCTGATTCCACACCTCCGGTTGACGATGTGGATAGCTCTGCGGCAGTCGGCGACACGCCGTGTTCGGGTGGCAACAACATCGTGCGTGTGTGTGTGCGGGACGCGTGTCGAAGACGGTTGTACGCTCTCCGCAACACTATGGCCGGTGTGGGTGACAATCGCGGACCGGTCAGCGACGTTATTGATCGGCTGCTCCACTGGTCCTTGCCAGCCATCCGTGCGGAGTTTGGTGTCGAGGTAGCAGATGTGATTTCTTCTTTGTTACCATCTCGGGTGTGCGGTCCATGTTTCACGTTGCGTTACATGCCTCGCGATTCCGGTGTTGACTACGGTCAGGGGGGTTTGCAGGGTTCAGCGAGCGGAGGGTTGGGGGAGTCTCATGACTGATCACAAAACTCGTTCCCGTCAGCGCGTTGCGCATCGCAGCGCAGTGACAGAGGGCGCAGCAGACCCCGCGGCGGGGGTCGCTGCACACCGACACCTGCCCGGCCGCAGACGTGGTGGGATAGTTGGGAAGGTGTTGACCAGTGCCGTCCTGGGCCTGAAAATGACCGTGCCGGTGTTGAGGAGGCGATGTATAGATGGAGTGGACCGACGACGCCGGATGTTGTGTTTCTGGAGCCGGTCAAGCTTCTTCAATTGCTGGACATGTTTCATCTATATTGCCCGTGGCACAAGGGCTCGTGCCGTGTGTCTGTGGAGTCTGTCTCCTATCCTACGCAGCTCTGCAAGCTTACCTTCGTATGTGCCAAGAAATGCAAATGGACGTGGCACACGACACTCGTGACCACGAACGTCTATCAGTCGCGACTGATGCAGCAGCTCTTTCATGCGACGGTCACCGCCGGCCTGACGTTCACGATCCTCGGCAACTTTTGTGTTTGTTTAGGGATGTGCCCGGTGCACAAACCCACATTCTACAAGTTTATGCGCACAGAACCGGGGGGGGCGGAGGGGTGGAATGCCAAGGTCGTATGACAGGGCATCAAATATTGCAAGCCTGCCATTGACACTGTGATGCGCCGTGGTGAGCCAGTGACATTGATGGTTGATGGTCGATATGACTCTGCCAGAGGCGCGCAGCATTGCACTATCATCGCGATGGAGTACGAGACTCGGCTTGTTGTAGGTGTTCACACTCTCCGTCCGAAGATTGAAGGCAAGGCATCGAATGCGCTTGAGGTGCCAGCCGTCGTGCAACTTTTGCGAGGGCTGATGGATAAGGGGTTGAAGATCCGGTGCGTTGTCTCGGATGATTGTGCCGCGCTGGGACTGAAGTTGCGAGCTATGAACATCGAGTGACAGAAGGATTGCCACCACAAAATAAAAAACATTCGCAAGCACTTCCACTGTATGCTGCAACAGAAGGAAGCGAAGAAAGTGAGCAACCCGCACGAGTGTGTGTCAGAGGCGCAGTTTATGCAGTTCACGAAGAAGCGGCTAAAGGAGGCGTTGGAGCAGCGTTTCGGACCAGACGTCCTCACACCTGCTGAGGAGCGGATGAAGAAATCGGATTTCGTCGCTGTCGTCATGCGAAAGATGTACCCCTACGGATCGAGGTCGAACGCTCGAGCGTTGGAGACTGATCCAGACGGATTGACAGAGTATCATTCGCATGAGGTTGGGATGTGGTTCCTCCGCGCTTGCCACCAGTGCAGGGAGGAGGGCGGAGACGCCGATAGTCTACACCACGACATCATGTTGGTCGCCGATCATTGGGCTGGTGATCATTCGGGATGTGTCGGCGGTAGGGAGGTTCTGTGCGAGAAGGCCGGTGGGCGTGCACGATTGCCTTTGTATAGATGCACGGACACGGTCTACGAGCTCGTTCAGCGTGTTCTCAATAAACAATGCAGCACTAACATCACGCCGTACTACGTCGAGTTTCGGCACACATCGGCGGTCGAGACTTTTCAGGGCACCATCATCATCTATGTGAAGAAGTCGGTGCATTTCGAGAAGTGTTACTGCGCACGTTTGTCGATCGCAGTGATTCGGTGGAGCAGTCACTACTGGCGCGACCCGGTCAGGTATGTTGCTCGCATTGCTGCGAGCACTTCCATACGTGCGAGACCAGGCTTCCGTCGACACTACGGTCACGAGGCGATCGACTGTTGGGAGGACAGATTGGCGGCGTCCGTGTTTGGTTCAGCACATGTTTCAGACTGGGCTCGAGTGTTTCTGCGATAGGAGTTTTGTCCTTATGGAGCCGTGTCATTTGCCGCGTGATTTGTTCGTCAACGGTGGGGGCGACCCAGTGGAAGTCGTTGATGATGCTGCCTCCGGTTCCGACCATGAGGCGGTGGGGGAGAACCGTGTTTTCATCATCGGTCACGTGGAGGACGATGAGGTGGCTGCATGCGATGATTGGGTCCAGACATCGAGGTCCGAATCTGAGGGTGGCGATATAGAGTTGTTCAGCGTTTGACTGGTTCAATGGCTTTATCGTTGACCTGACATTGGTCTGGTGATCCAAATTTCACTGAGCATGGCGTTGTTCACACACATTCCATGGTGTCTTGTTTGTTACGCTACATTATGTCACATATATATATATATATATTATATATATATATATTATATATATATATATATATATATATATTATATATATATATATATATATTATATATATATATGATTTTACTTTGTCCATCTCTTTGCCTGTATATATATATTTTCTTGCTCAGTTTGACTGGCAAGACTGATGGCGAGGCTGTATACTACCCCGTAGGGTTACATTTGTAATTTTGTTCGACTGAGGGTTAACCGTGAGACGAACCTGTGACGAAAATTTGTGAGGGCCATATCTGTAAATATGAGAAATATAGGCCCAGCAGTATTTTGAATTTCCTGTACGTACCCTTGCTGCGAATAGCAGGCCCGGACTACCCCCAGGACAGACAGGCCCTAATGGCCTAAGCTGATAGATGGTTCTATAGCTTATAGTCGGGTGCGGCAGAGGCGGAGAGGCCGAAACTGCTAGAGTGATTGGTCGGTTAGTCAGTCCGGTCTAGGTTTAGGTTAGAGTACTGTACTCTATTAGTAGAATGAGGGAAATCGATTGGGGAGCAAGGGACTGGAACAAACTCTGTTATGATATTCGTTCAAGTTGGCTCATCATCATCATCATATCAATTGTGATCTTGCTGAGGTTCTTTATTGTGATTATTTGTTGGGAGTCTGTCGGACCTCCCCCATGTGTGAATGGTTGAATTTCGCTGCTTATCCTTGTCTGTGTGCAGTTTTTACTCTGTCACCTCTCCCCCTCTTCTTATGCATGTGTGGGCGTGTTTGGGATTGTGTGTGTGTGAGTGCCGGATAAAATCGTCAGACAACCAAGTGATACATATATATATATATACTAGGTTACCAATGGTCCGGAGATCGGACGTCTCCACGGGACGTCTCCACCGGACGTCTCCCCCGGACGTCTCCCCTGGACGTCTCCCCCCCCCGTCGTCCGGATTTCCGGACACCTTTTTGGCAAAAAAAAATAATAAWAAAAAAAAAAAAATGATAGTGTTGCGCATGGCCTAGAGATCCCCCACAAAAAAATTCAGATTTTTCTGAGCATTTGCTGACAAGGTGGTATTTGGGGGGGGAGGGGGTTGTAGAAGGGGTTTTGGTGGAGATAGGAGGGATATAGATGGGGAATGAATCTTTAAAGATTTTTATTATTTATTCTACTAGCCAAAATGATCCAAAAATTTGGTGGCATACACCTAATGCAAGGTCGAAGCCACATGATTTTTTTCAAAAACTTTTTTTTTTTTTTTTTTTTTTTTT